ACTACTTGAAAGTCATTACAATAATGCAGAAATCAAGGGCCTGGCCTGAACTAGAGTTTTAGGAATTGGAATGAACAATATATTTAAGAAAAATATATCAACAAGATTCTACAAAAGCCCGTTTATCCAATACTTTTGCTCATTTCACAGTCACCGAGTATTTAAATGATTCAATCTTGAAATGTCATATCCCTGTGCCCTTGTTAATGATTCACACCAACAAGGAATGTGCTTTCTCCATATTAAAATCGTATTCTTTAGGGCCAGAAGGTGGCATGGTGGTTAAGGCACTGGACTCTTAACATAGTCAACTATGGTTCAAGTCCTGGACCTGGTGGCTTGCTTTTTCACTTTTTCTCCCCTCTCGCTCTCTCTCTCTCTCATTAAAAATAATAATAATTAATAAAATCAAATAATTCTTAAAGAAAAAAAATCTTGTGTGGACCAGTAGTTGGCATAATGGCTATGTCGCTGGACTCCCATGTAGTTGATCATGGTTCGAGTCCCGGATCCAGTGGCTTAAACTCACACTGGGCATGTGTGCATGCGTGCCCATGATCCCAGAGGAGAATGGAGGAAAAGGGATTGCGGCATGGCCATCTCGCTTTCTGTCTCTCTCTGTCTTTCTGGCAAGCACATATGCCCTATAGAAAAATCCTCTCCAAAAAAAAAAAAATCTTGTCTCCAATGTTCTGCACTAGATCACCTGGTCAAGAAACAGTCCCTCTCCTCCTCTGAACTTGTCCACAATCTATATAAGCAAACCGACTTATTCCAGAGTGCCCCGTACTGAAGTGATGTGAGTATCTGACTGCGTGCACATGGCAGTCCTAAACGCTGTTAACTCTCACAATGCCTTAAAGTAAAAGCTGGAAAACACTAGTTAAGCATGTGTACGTGTGTTAAGAGTGGGCAATTGCCACACAGCAGCAAATCAACAACAACTGAAGCTGCAAGGGCTCGTGGCTAAGAGAACAGTGGTATGACAGTTCGGTTTTAAGGAAAAAAGGCTTGAGTAAAAGCTATTTTGTTTTTTTTAGGGAAAGAAAAGGAAGACTGCAGCTCACAGAACCAGTTAATAATGGCGAGCTTGCCTAATTTGCTATCCACACACCTAAGGATTCCACCATTCTGGATGTGGTTTACATTGAAAGTAGCTTTCTGCAGGGCTAGGAGGAAGCACAGTGGTTAAGGTACTGGACTCCCACATGGCCACCTGTGGTTCAAGTCCCGGATCCAGCAGCTTGAAACTCATGCCAGGACATATTCATGAGTGCCCAAAGTCCTGAGAGGATAATGGAGAAGAAGGGATGGCACTTTCTCTATGTGTCTCTGTCTCCAATGAGTGCACATGTCCTATAGCCAAAAAAAAAAAAAAAAACTCTCTTAAAAAAAAAGTAGCTTTTTGTATTTTTGTTTAATTGCTTTAGGGCACATGCACTCTCCAGAGAGAAAGAGACAGAGACAGAGAAAATAAGAAAGCACCCCCAGGGGTATGACCATGCTGCAATCCCTTCTCCTCCACTCTCTCAAGATTCGGGCATGTAAGTACATACATACACCTAGAGGGATTCTCAAGCCTCCAGGTCCAGGACTCAAACCACACAGTTGGCCATGTGGGATCCAGGTGCCTTAACCACCACTCAACCTGGCTGGCCTGCTGAATTCCACTTTATTGATTCCTGACAAAATTGTTATGAAAACTGAGAACATGAGCTAGACAGCGGTACTGAATAAAGCGGGACTGGGTTCCAATCAGAAGGGGCTGCAGGGAACACTCATGTACATACCGGGGGCTGGAGGGGCAGAGACGGCAGTCTAAGACCCTGTTGAGGTACTGTCTGTCTCTCTGACGAATGAAATAAATCAAACTTTTAAAAATCTTAGCAGTGACAGTTTTGCCTTACCGTGAAGGTAAGTTCACCCTCCGAAGAACTCGAGCATGCCTGCGGTGGGTTTCCTTCACCGGTATGGTCAGATTTCCTAGATTCACTCAAATACTTGCTTCAACAACAGCGGCGACAACCACCTCAACTGAGCTACAAGTACTGTCATAAACACAGCTACCAGGGCCAGCAGGTGGTGTGGTGGTTAAGGCGCGCTGGATTCTCACATCACCAACCACGGTTCGTGTCCTGGACCTGGAGGCTTGAAAAAAAAAAATCACACTAGGTACATGTGCATGCATGCCCAGAATCCCGAGAAGAGAATGGGACTGCATTGTGGCCATCCTCCCTTGGGGTCAATTTTTCACTTTCCCTCTCTCTGCCTCTCTCTGGCGAGCATATGCACCCTCTTAAAGGGGGAAAAAAACTGAAAAAATACAGTTACTACTAGGCAGGAAAAAGAGGAAAGAGATGAGCTTGGATGGAACAGATGGGTCAGGCCATATAGCACAGTGGTTAAGCACTACACAGAGGAAACCAGATCCCACATGGTCAATCTCAGTGGAGTCTTGGTCCCATCAACTTGAAAAACGCGCCGATGTGTGTGCCCATGCTCCAGATCCTGATGGGATGGAGAACACTATGTCGTGAGCAGGCCCCCTATCAAGCCCCACTGAGGGTCACTCCCCTGCCCCCGCCCCAGTACACGCCCTCTGGCATTCTACTCTTTTTTTTTTAAAAAATACATTTTGCTAAAGAGAATACTGCATAATCCTTAAAAGATTTTCCAAAAAAAAGTTTCTAAATTTCAATCTGGGAACAAGATCAAGCTGATAGGGCTACTCTGCAGGATGACTTAATTCAATAATCCATTTCACTGATGAAAGTAAAGAAAGTATCACTTTATTTTCAGACCCCAGAAGGAGGGGGCTGATCATTCATAGTCACACAAATTTACAGCATACACTCTGGTGAAGTGAGGAGTTCAAAGTCATTTTCTCCCCAAATTCTTTATAATGAGTCAGAAGTGAAACTACATCCGACTTTGCATCAACGATGTGGTGTAAAACGCTTGACTCAGCTAATGTTTGAACACTAAAATGTAAAGAAGAGACCATTCCACATATCTATCTGATGCCTCAAATCCCTAGAGTTTTCTAATATAAGGGCCTTGGAAGCTCATACAGTGCACTTTCATGTTATAAAATTGAAACAGACCTAGAGTGATTGATTTGCCCAAAGCAACAGTACAAGCCTACAAATTATTTTCAGTTCCTCACTGCTAAGTATTCTTTTTCAACATAACAAGCTAACAAATAATACTGATCAGGTACTAAAAGGAAAAAAAAAAATATTTAAAGGTTCTCATGTATAGGTTTTTTAAAATTAAAAGTTCTATATTGAAACTAAGCATACGATCATGCTTCTCTTTCCACCAAGAGTCATTCATTTCCATTTATAAAAATGCCAGTTTAGGACAATCAGATGATGATAAACATTTGCTCTCAAAGTAAAAATAATTTGGTTTTACATTGTATTCAAACAGAAGAGCAAGGAATATTTACTCCGGACAGTCTCCTCTTTTTGTTGTTGTTGTTAAACTCTCTCCTCTCCCTCCCCATGCTTTCCCTTCTTTTGTACTGAAGTTCTCAGATGCATGAGACGGAGAACAATGCCACAATACAACTGCAGGCTTCCTGCCTACTCCTCAGTCATTATTCTTCAGACTTGAGAATTTTCACAGCACTGCTTGGGTTGCTTTGAAATTCCCTCTTTTCAGATTTTCCCTCCTTCATGGAACATCTACTGAAAAGAATGACTTCAAAAATGCCTTGCTGCACCCAATCAAAATTCTCTGGGCAAAGGAAAACACTAGCCTTAGATAAGAAGGGATGCAAATGCCCAAACGTTGGCAAACACCAATCCCAAAGTACAGAACAGAAAGAAATGTATCTGTGGCCAAGCACAAAAAAATAGTCTCGCGCACACGGATTAGATCTGTTTCTGCAAAACTCCATATTTATATGGGCAGAATCTCAAAATAGAAGACTATATAATAGTATCGCTTTAAAAAAAAATACCACTTAGAGAACTAGGTCTCCAACTACAATATATTAAGCTAAAGAAAAAGGACTAAGTCAGTTATGACTGACTGAATACTTCACATCCAACTATACTGGTACATCCATTTATTTTAAAAAGTTGTCAGGGACAGAAAAAATTACCAGCAAGAATCACCTACCTGAACACCTGTAGAATTTCCCACTTCCTCTGACCACCCAGATGGGGGCTGTACTTACTAATAAACGTACCAGGTTGTTGAGATAAACCAGTAAAAAACTACTGGAGTGGAGAACCAGCAGTTAGCGTAATGGCTATGTCGCTGGACTCCCACGTAGTCGACTGCGGTTCGTGTCCCGGACCCGGTGGCTTAAAAAAAACTCACGTTGGGCGCGCATGTGCGTGCGTGCCCAAGATCCGGAGAGGAGAATGGAGGAGAAGGGATTGCGGCGTGACCATCCCCCCTGGGGGGTGATTTCTCGCTTTCTGTCTCTATGTCTCTCTCTGTCTGTCTGGCGAGCGCACGTGCCCTACAGTGAAAATCTCTCCAAAAAAAAAAAACTACTGGAGTGCAGGGGTGGAGGAGGACAAACAGTCTACCCAGCTCAACAGCATTGCTTCCTTTTTAAGGGCAAAAGCACTAAAGAGGGAAGGTTCCTGCGTGAGTAACAACTTGTCAAATGGCTACAATGCACAGAAATTTTTTCCAAAACACCTAACAAAAACAAAAAGACTAATTTATTTTAAACAATATTTAATGCAGCCTAATCCCACTACAACAAAATAATTTAGCTAGTTCCCTGGTGTTTGTTATAATGGGATTTAATCTTACACTCAACATTCAATTAACCACAAGGATTATCCTAATTGAGGATTATGCTGACTTCAGCAGTCCCTTCCCAACTATCCCGCTACCACTCCAACTCTGTGGCCAGGGACCAAAAGCAGAGCCCCAGGGAACAGAGTGCCCATTACCAGGAGATCCGCTGGCTAATATTCCCTTTTCATCAGTGTGTGAACAATCAAGAGATACGTTTAGTAATCTAGTCAGCATAGTTGCCAAAAAATGAAGATTTACAACCTTCATTCACAGACTCTCACCAAGAAAATTGAACATCTGAACAGAATACCTTCACAGAATCAGCAGACAATAAAGGTCACAGCCTTTCTTAGAACATTTCGATTTTTTTAAAAATTAACAAAAAGAAAAAAGAAGACACAGACGTTCCCAACGAAAAATACAAAGAAAATCAAACAAAACAGAAAAAGAGTTCATTGGGGCCAGCAGGTGGCATGGTGGTTAGGGGTGCTGGACTCCCACATGGCTGACCATCATTCAAGTCCTGGACCCAGTGGTTTGCTTCTCACTTTCTCGCTCGCTCGTTCACTCGCTCTCTCTTTCTGTGTATCTCACTCTTGTCAAATAAAATAATGATGATGATGATAAATAAAGAAAATAATTCCTTGTTAAAAAGACATTAATCCATTTGCTATTTTTAAAATTATTTTATTTAGCTTTATTTATTTATTTCATTTGACCAGAGAGGGACAGAGCAAGAGAGGAAAGTAAGAAAGCAAGCCACGAGGTCTGAGACTCGAACCATGGTCTGCCATGTGGGAGTCCTACGCACCTAACCACCATGCCACCTGCTGGCCCCAATCCATTTGCTTTTAGAATATTCTTTTAAACAGGTGAAATCAGTGATTGAATGAAAATAAATAAAAACTTTAAAAGTTATTAAAAAATCAATACAGAATAATGATAAAATCTAATTTGACCATTGGATTGTAGACCTTTTTTTTTTGGCAATCTAGATATAGATTATCTCACTATCAAATCCATTCAAAATAAAAATTAATGGCTTAGAAGAAAAAACTAAAATAAAATAGGTAATATCTGTCTGCCAATCAAGTGAGACTCCGTTTTCTTTGCCTCTAAGCCACAGAGTGCACTACATAATTAGGGGGAAAACAGTCATTACTGCTACTACACTGCGAATTGACCTAGGCTAGTGATATCTACCGAACTGGGTTAAAGCTGACAAAGTCGGGAACTGGCAGTATGTAGTCTAAGCAGATTATTCAGTCTGTGGGTAAATCAGCCTTTAGACACCGCAGGTCTTCCTTCTACTCCTGCTGAGTAACTTCTGGCCATTTTCCTGTTCATTTAACAACTCTCCACCAGAAGGTAGGAAAGAGAAAGGAGATTAACTTCAAGTCAATTCCATCATGTGTTAGGGGGCTAAAAATAAGGTTAGGCTGTGGATAAATTGCATCCTTAACTCAAAATAATCTCCCAGAAACCCTCTCAAGAACACAATGGACAAATAAATTTACCTAGCAAACATTAACAAACTGCCGGAATATGCCTCCACTTTACTGTGAAATGTTCATTTTGTAATCTCCTCCCCTAACCCAAAAAGCATTTACAAAATAAGAAAACACCTGCATTTCACTGCAGCACGCAATCTCAAAGCTATTTCTCGCAATCGAGATTAAGTCACCTTTTTCTTTCAATCTGTTTAACTATGAGAAAAAATAAAAATTAACATACATTTCCAATACAAATTTTCTGCTCCTAAAGCTTTAACTACTCAATTATTCATAAAAGAAATATTCTAAGCTACAGAGTACAGTTAACTCAAATTAAACTGGTATAGGTAATCTGATTTAACCCCTGAGAAACTATAGTATCTCTTCAATCATGACTAATAATTCTTGTTTTTCTAGTCCCAGGCAGAATTAACAGAGCAATCAACTATTAAATTGTGGTCTATTCCCCAGTAGACAAATAGCCACTGGAGGCTAGACACTCATTCCAAACCTGCAACAAATTAAAAGTTTTCAAAAGAGCTCTACTTCTTCTGCACAAAGGTTTGAAATTATATAGCCTAAAAAAGAAACCCTAAAGACATTTATTTTAACAACCAATTAAGGATAGAATAATAGTATTTTGGGTGTGTGTATGTGTTTTTAAGA